TGTGTTTTGCATAAGAAGTGAATATTTTAAGAAGCTGGGTAAAAAAACATGAAGAGTCTGCACACACACACACACACACACACACACACACACACACACACGTTTGAAATGGGATATCTGTTACTATATAGTACATGTTACTTTCAAACTTACGATCCTCCCACTTCAGCCTCCTAAGTACTGGGATTACAGTTATGTACGATTATACTTAGCTTTGTTGTACTACTTTGGCAATATTTTTCTAAGTCTGAAATTGTTCCTAAATGAAAAGCTAAGAAGGAAGATGTGGCCTTTAACAAATCTCTTTTTTCCTCTCTGAATTTAGTTAGCTTTTGTTAAAACTTTGTTCACAGTAAAAGAAAGCTGCTTGAGCTAATCATGTTAGAAAACGTGCGAATGTTGGGAAACGTGCGCCTGTGCGCCTGTGAAGGTTACACTCGGGTTCACAAATCACACCACGAGATCGGTTCCACCACGTGGGAGGTTTATTAGGGGAAGGGGGGGTTGGAGAGAGAGAGAGAGAGAGAGAGAGAGAGAGAGAGAGAGTAAGGAAGAGAGAGAGAGAGGAACAAGAGAGAGACCACGTGTCAGGGTGGGCCCTTTAAATCAGAAGGTAACCACGCCCTCCAGGTGTGGTCACCTGGCTGGCTGACTGGCTGGCTGGCTGACAAGACAGGTTGCTGGGCAACCCAGAAGCAGCAAAATACTAACAAATCAAGTCATAAAGAAGAAAGGTATATTTAAATTCATTTCTGAGGCACCAGTCTGTTGGAAAAATATTTTTGTACATTGTATGAAGATGCATGTCTGTCCTTCCTCACCTGACTAAGGTACTTTCTGATTAGTTTGATAAAAGAGCTGAATAGCCAACAGCTGAGGCAGGAGAGGATGGGCAGGACTTCCAACAGAGGGCTGAAAAACTAGGAAGGAATCTGAGGCAGGAAGAGTTGGCCAGACACAGGACTAAGGTACAGAGGAAAGGTAATGGGCCATGTGGCAGGACATAAGCCATGCCAGTACTGAGGTTAGAGTAGCTGAGAATCTGCTGAGATATCATGACTAAGCTTATAATAGATTTAATAAGTCTCATTATTCCATCTGCTGGCAGTTTCAAAGAAAGTTCTGTTTTAATTGGCACCCAATGTGGGTCAGCTATCCAAGCTTAGAACACTAGATTCAGGTGTTAGGCCAGAAGTTCTAGACATGGGAGCCAGACCAGAAAGCCAGGCATAGAGGCTGGGACAAGTAGAGTGGCTGAGGTCAGCCAGTGCTGCTTGCTGGGAGGCTTGGGGAATTGGAGTCTCAGAGCATGACCCCTGCACTGTGGCTCACAAAAGTGCACTCTAGCCACATTTTTCAGGGGCCTCAGCAGAAATGGAACATAGACAGTCATAGAAAGAAATACCAAATTTGAATATAAAACATAAAATCTCTGAAGGAAGGAGAGAGATAGAAAAATAGTCTTCATAGAAAAGGAAAAGAAGGAAATAAGTGAAAATGCTCTATAAATTTGCATAATAAAGTGAAGTCTTTGTAGGAAGGAGAGAGAGAGAGATTAAGAAGAAAAAGTATTTTCCATGTTAAAAAAATGGAAAACACAATGGCAGAGGGTATTTGTTTTGATTATCAGCATACAAATAATTATATGTTTAGTAATGATTGCAATTTCTGTATATCTTATTTAAGAAAGATCAGAATAAAACACTTAAAGAAAGAGCCTTTTATTAAACTAAAAGGGGGAGATATTGAGGCAATCTTTTTGTATACTGTATGAAGATTGTCTTTAAATTATTCAAATTTAAATTATTCAAAATTAATTCAAAAAATTAACTTTTGTACCTCCAGATAGCTGAGTACTGTCTGAACTTTGGTTTTTATTTATTTTTTTCTTTTTGCTCAGCACCTGCATCATATTTTGTAAACATACACTTTACTCACCTTCTGACTGGTTTAACAAAGAGCTGAGTGGCCTATAGCAAACACAGGAAAGGAACGTGGGATAAGAAAGGCAGAGATAAGAACTCTGGGAAGGAATCTGAGGCAGAAAGAATTACCAGACAGACAAAGAGGAGGAAAATAGCACCAGGGCTAAGATTGAAAGGTGACAAGCCATGAGGAAGTACATGGAATGGTATAAATGGGACAATTTAGGTTAAGAGCTAGCTGGGGAACAAGATGAAGCTAAGGCCAGGCTTATATAATTAATGAAAAGTTTCTGTCAGTATTCTGGAGCTTGCCAGTCCAAATGAAGTCTTGTTACACTAGTCCATAGTATTTTAGCCTCATTGTGGTGCATAGTACAGTATGGTGAGAGCTCACAGTAGAGTTTTTGCTTACCTCGTGGCAGCCAGGAAGCAAGTACTGAGGAATAAGGGAGGAATCAGAATCTTATTATCCTCTTCAAGTGCATGCCTCCAATGGCATGGCTTTTTAAAAATATGTCCTACCTCTTAGAGATCTACCATCTCCCGGTAGGGACATAAAGGGGATCTGGCTATGGCTTCTGTCACTCAGTTGATTACCAGGGTTGATTCAGCTGATTTGCCTGGCTAGGCTGGTGTTCCTTATTCTCTCACTACTCTGTGTGTATCCTTCCAGAAACTGTAGGTTCTTCTGAAGATGACAACATTTCCTGATAAGGAGTACCATTCTTCCATCAAGGCATATGATAAGCTGGGTTTCTCTGCTAGAACCTCCAAAGAAGTTCTCATGGTCCACTGTCTCCTAATATTGTCATAGGCTTGTGATGACAAATCTTTGATAGGTGGAACTTTGGATCCAAACTATCAAGCTATTGTGCTGTTCATTTCTGGGGAGGCAGGAAATGAGGGTCGTGGTAGTGGCAGGAAATGATCCTAATCTACTGACAAGTGTCAGAATGAAAAAAAATAGACTAGTACAAAGAGCATTGTGAATACTTTAATCTGTACAAAGTGATTCTTGCTGTTAGTAATAGTGACTCTACTGTCTTGAGCTACTACAGCTTCAGAGGGTTTCTTCCAAATCAAAAGCATCTGGATATAAACCATTTCCAGCCATGCAGAATGCCCTCATCCAAGGGAGTAATAATGCTGTCTTTGTGGCTGGATGGTTGTTGTCAAGGAGATGGCTCCAGATAGCCCAAACAGCTGATGGGAGTGATGTCACTTCTAGACTTGGCAGAAAGAAAAACCACAATGAGAAAAACAGGGCAATGGCCTTTCTGTCTCTAATCATGACTATGCTGCAGTAGCAGCAAAAACAACTTCCGTTATAGTTTACCATTGTATAATTGATTCTATTTTCAGTTTCCAAGTTCAACAAGGGTTACGTTTATAATCTACAAATGTGGCCTCCCAAATAGGGCAAGGGATTAATCAAAATGGGAACTTCCTATAGGTTCTGTATAGTTTTCTATTCCATTTTGTATGTGGGAAAGCCAAAGTACAGACAGGAGAGGTGGTCACAGGATTAGTTGTAGTTAGAGTCTAGGCATCTGAATTGCTAGTCCTGCAATCCTATCACTCAGCCACCTTGAGACATTTGCTTTCAGAATGGAGTCTGATGGTTATAACATTTATATACTGTGCTATCTCACTCGATTTTATATCTTTTTTGATTTCTGTTTTTACATTTCATATATGTATACAGTGTATTTATGATCATATTCATCATCTTCCATTATACTCTCTTGTCCCCATGTACTCCTGCTGACTCCTTTGTTCCTTCCATCTATTTTTTTTCTATTTCCTATTCTTTTCCTCTCCACTGGGTTTAATTAGGGTTGCTTGTATGAACATGGGTGGGGTTATTCATTGGAGTATGTGCAACTTATCAGTGGCTAAACCATGGGCATAATGACAAATCCTCCCCCAGCAATCACAGATCTCATGTCTGAATTCTAAGTTCTAAGATGGAAAAAGAATTGAGCACTTAGGAATTATATATAGCCTGTTTGAAACATTTAGGGCATTGGAGTGCAGAGGGACCTGGGCTCAAATTACAATTCTGTTTCTTGACAGTTTGCAAAGAGAATGAGTGTGATCATATAGGGTCACTACTGACAGAATTTAACAATATCGCAGGTCATCCTCACAAAAAATCTTATAGGATAGGAACAGGCTCATTTTCTCCATCGAGCAATTGAGCTTGTCAATCATGAACACCTACTTGTACCCTTTTGGATTGTAGAATTTAACAGGTTAAGGTCTCACCCCACAAGTCTGGAGCTAGTGTTTTCCAGCACAACGAGGTTTGCTACTGCAGAATGACCAGTCAAAGGGACCTGGCAGGAGGAACTGCTTTACTGCTAGGGGATCACTGTTCCACATCCATTGCACCCTCCTCTCCCCTCCGACTATATTCAAAACAAGGTTCCAGAGAGCCCAGACCTTGATGTCAGGAGCTAAGAATCTGGTTTTAGTGGATGGTATACTTGTTTATTACTTTGGGCAAGTCTTTTCTTGCTCTGGGTCTCAGTTTACTGATTGTTGAGCCCTAGTGGTAACAAAATTCCCTGAGCGGTTTGACGTAAAGTATGGCTGAACCCTTTATAGGGGTGAGGCTCCAAACTCAGCCTGTAAATTACTGCTTGTATTAGCGCTCTACAGGTATTATTTTTCTAAATCGAGGCATAACTCAGTTATCTAAGTTTCAACTTAAGGCAGAAGCCTTTTGGGTGCAAAGAGCCAAGGCGCGAGGGTCAGGGGTCACGATTCTGGAACGGCAGAGTTAAGTGTACTAAGCAGTCCCACCTCCCGCTTAGATTAACTGATTTACCCTTAACAAATATGGCGCTCATCTTGGCTACGGCGCGAATGCCCTCACATACAAAATATGGCGGCCGCCTCTTTTCTCTTAGTATTGCAGGTCCAAGCGCGAAGGTTCTGCCCTCAGCTAAGATGGCGCCCACCCACGCTTTCCCTGCCAGGTTTCAGGCCCATGCAGAGCGGCTTCAAAGCCCATCCCTGCGTGACCCCGCCCTGTTTCCGTAGGAAGAAGCGCCGAGAAAGATGGCGGCAGCTGCGGTTTGAATTCCAGCGGCGCTGGTAGACAGAACAAGAGCTGCCTTGGAGGGGCGGGACCTGGGGAACTGAGTGCGTCGGGACTGCCTGGGGCACCAGGGGCATCACCTTTGCAGACACCGGTGCCAACACCATCTCTGTGTTCCGGACGGACTCGGTGATGGAAGAGGACGCCACTCTGCCAGGAACCCTCAGCGGCTGCAGGTGTGGCTTTGGGGTTCTTGGTAACTGGGTTGGGGTTGCTACTGACTGTAATTCTCTCCCTGGAGGCCTTCGGTTTGCTTGGGGATGGCCCCTGCTGCTGCCCGAGTGTGGTGGGACCTGCGGGTTTCCAGCCAGCCAGCACTACATTCGACTATGTGTATTCTGGAACATACTTTGAAGAGGATGTGTAGGATAAGTAAGGGGCTTTTCGAAAGAGTGGGAGGAGGTGGGACTAATGGGATTTCTATTACTAGGGGCTAATTTGGGACTGGGCCTTAGAGCATTTGGTGGGTGATATTCATTCTTGTTGGAGGTTTGCATTCATTATGGGAATTGAAGTTGTTATTTTAGACTTTGTTTATGGGGTCACACAGTAGCCACCCAGAACGAAGGCAACAGTGTAGGAAGTTAAGAGCCTTGTCCTGCCAGGCGCGGTGGCGTATGCCTGTAATTCCAGCACTGGGGAGGCAGAAGCAGGCGGATCTCTGTGAGTTCCTGGCCAGTTTGGTCTACAAAGTGAGTCTAGGATAGCCAAGGCTACACAGAGAAACCCTGGGGGTGGGGGTTGGGGAAGAGCCTTCCCTGGAGGTGGACAGGATTTAATTCAAGCCCAGCCTATAAACCTACTCTGTAACCTTGGTAAATTGACTTCCTCTCTGAAAAAATGGGCTAATGGCAATATGTAGTCACCATAATTGGATGAGAATGAAAAGAAACAATAGCTGCCTGGACTGTTCTCTTAGCAAGTATAGTTGCTGACATAAAACAGTGTTGAAGAGGAAAAAGAATGATACTATGTTGCTATCACTACCCCTCCTACAAATTGTGTTTTCTATCCAAAGCCCTTGGGACCAGAAATTGGATTATTTTAGATTTTTGGGATGGGTTGTTGGCATGAGAACTAAATTAGCCCAATGTTTAATTTAGTGGATCTTCTAATAATCTCCTTTCCTTCCTCTCCCAGCCTTGACCGGAGAGATTCATTTCTTGGTCATGCATTTCTTAACCTGCTTTAGGTCCTCTGGACACCTTGCCATCTTCAGAATGAAGTTTTGTAATGTGGCTTCCAAGTTTCTCCTTAATTTGCTACATCTGCCTCGATAGCTTCCCCTCTCTGGTTCTCAGCCCTGTCTCTTCCTCAAGTCTTTCCCTGTGTGCCTGACTGCCAAGCTCAGTGATTCTGCTGTGTTGTTTCTAGGTGCTAAGCTAGCATACTTGCTGGTCTTGCCGCCTCAGTTGCCCTTCTATGCCTTTTTGCCCTACTAACATCGAGGTTCTACTACTAGGAAATCTTCCTGATAATTCCACCCTTGTCTGAGCTCTTTGTACTGTTCTAGCTACCCTCACTTATCTCTGTCCTAACCTTATTGAGAGTGACCAGCTCTGTTAGGTAGAACTACAACCTATGGTGTGTATTTAATTAAAAACTGTTTTGTAAACTGGGCTGGTGGCACATGCTTTTAATCCCAGCATTCAGGAGGTGGAGGCAGGTGGATCTCAGAGTTCAAGGTCAGCCTGGTTACAGAGGGAATTCCAGGATAGCTAAGGCTACATAGTGAAACTCTGTCTTGAAAAACCACATCAACACCAGCAACATTAAAAACTTTCTGGTAGTCACAATTTAAAAAAATAAAAATATTTTAGGACAGCCAAGGCTACACAGAGAAACCCTGCCTTGAGATGAACAAACAAACAAACAAACAAACAAATAAAGTGAAGTTCCTTTCTTATGGTGTTAGAGGTTGGACCCAGAGCATCGCACATTCTCAGCAAGTGCTTTACTGCTTAGCAGCTGCACCATTGGAAGCAGGAGGATTATTATACTTTATTTAGCTTAATATTTCCATATGTGATTCTAGCAAAACCTATAGGAGAACCTGTTGATGAAATATTTTTTTATGTCTTTTAATCTCACTTACTGTTTGATAGCTGGTATGAATTTTTATGCTTAGATTGCATCCCAACTGCATTTCAAGGTACAGGCAATGGCTTATATATGTATAAATGGCTTATACATTTCAAGGTACAGTGCAGGTGTTGGGTGTTAACATATGGGCACCAGGTGAGATGGTGTACTATTGTAGAACAGGAACTAGATTTTGTTCATCTTTGTAACCCTTCTTTCTAGCCTAAGTGTTTGGTACACAATAGGAACAGAGTGACATTTGTTAAATCATTGAGGGAAAAATGATTCTTTGAGGGGCTGCTTTTCTCCTCCTGTTACATGAATGGTCTGGGGTCACAAAAAAGTCCATGAGAAATCAGTACGTAAATCCAAGCTTCCTGACTTCAAAACCTGTTCTGCCTTCTGACCAGTCAGAACTAACTAATCAAGCTGACTATTCAGGGAGCTCTTGCAGAGCTTCTAGTATTGAATTCACCCTTCAAGAGTGGCAGAAATATTCCAGGCAGGATGGGTCTTCATTAGGTGACCACAACAGGGAACAATAGTTAGTATGATAAAATCATACCTTTTCATTGTAATATACTGCTTTCTGAGCACCCTTCTCTTGACAATTTGCAGTCCTCATGTTTGCAGCCTAAACTGAGCCCAGTTGAATGTTTGTTGCATTGGGTCAGGGTACACCTTTTGCCCCTAACCTAACGCTTGTGCATGTCCCAAACATCTTTAGCCCTGTGTTTTGGAGCCATGGATCTTTCCCCAGTTAAGACTTAAATTTTTTTATGTAGAAAGAACCTGTGCATGGTGGTCAATATGATAGCAGAGATGATGGTACAAGTCCTTATTCAGCCACTTATTAGTTACCTTGTTTTGAATAAGTCACTTCCCTTCCAAGCCTTAATTTCTCTTTGATGATAAACCTATTTTATTGATGGCTATGCAGATTACACCTAGCACCCACTGGAGAAAATGTGCACTCAGCTCGTGTTCTTAAACTCATGCCATGATGCACACTGTTGGGAAAACAGGATCCTCAACTTTGCAACCTCAACACTCATCTCTTTGTTTACATGCCAAGAGGCTGTCTGTGCTCTGCAGTGAGTGTCCTGAGGCCTCAGCTCAAGCTTATTGAATATCAGGTTGCTCTAGCACATGGCCAGTAAGTACTTGTTATTCTGTTAGGAGCAGACTGGAAGGAAATGTGTAGCACAGTTTGAGTTGTCCCATCATGGATGCCAAGAGAAACGGTCTGAAATGAGGATGGGAGGGTGAAATCAGAAAAAAAGGCTTACTGGTAGTGTCAGGGTTAGTTTGGATGGGGTATTCTTGAGCTCTAATGCTTGAGAGAACCATGATTCCTCAGTAAAGTACTTGCCTTTCAAAGGACCTGAGTTTGATCCCCAGAACTCACATAAAAACCTACATGGTGATGTGTCCTAGGGAAGCTAAGATTAGAGGATCCCTGGGTCTGGCTAGTCAGCCTAGCCTCATCTGAGAACCCCTGGGCCCAGAAAACAGAATGTGTTTCAAATAAAACAAAATAGCCAGAGCAGATGGCTCCTGAGTAATGGCACTCCAGGCTAACCTCTCACCTCCAGGTGTGTGAACACTCGTGCAAGTGTGCCCACACTCAGATACGTCCTTTACATGAAGATGCACAAAAATATGAAGATGTAGTTTTTATGTCAGAAAGTTTACCCATTTAAAGTAAACTGCTGAATAAATGAGTTATTTACAGAGGTGTGCCAACATCACTATCATTCAAGTTTAAAACAATTACATTATTTGAAAAGAAACCTTATTGTCAGCATGTTCCCCCCTCAGGCCGTGTAGCCCACAATCAGTATTTTTTACTCTATAGATTTGTCTATTCACAAAGATTTTATAATGCACATACTTTTGTGAGATCACATTGCAGCATGAATAACTACCTCTGTTGCCTTTTGTGTCAAATATTATTTTATTGTACCGTAATTAATGCCATGCCTCGTTAATGGATGTTGTTTTTATTTTTAGAATACTGCTATGAACCTTTATTTGTGTATGAGCTTTGTGTGGACATGACAAGGTCCTCTTCCTCCTCAGTGGTCTTCATTTTTGCCGAGGACTAGAACTGCCAGGCTGTGTGGGAACTCTGCTTACTGTTTGGGGGACCTCCAAGCATAGTTCCAAAAACGGGCACCATTTGTATCTCTTGCCAGCAGCATCCTTGCAGGTTCTGGGATTTTGTGCTTCACTAGCACTTTTCATTGTGTAGCTTTTTGACTCAAGCAATAATTGCAGGTGTGATATATGTCATTGTGGAATTGATTGTTTAATGCTTAATGATAGTACATGTCTTTCTGTGTGTGTGTGTGTGTTTGTCATTTGTATTCTTTTTTTGTTATCATGCCTGTTCAGAATTTTTTGCCCAGTTGAAAAAAGTGTGAATTATTTCAGCCCGGTAATTTCACTTCTTAGTATCTGCTCTAGAGGCATCCTTGTACATGTATACAATGGGATCAGTATAGCGATATTTATACAGCATGGTTTTTAAAAGAACAACTTGGAAACAGGTTGAATTCCTCTTAGCAGGGGATTGGGTAACTACACATCCTTTCAAAAGTGTCTTTCAGACCTTTTACAACCCACTGCTGGCTCTTGAAAGTCAGCTTCCTAGGTTACAGCAGGATCTTTTAAAAGTAGAACAGAACAGAGGTTTCAGGCATTGAGGAATTAATTCTTTTATGGATCATTGCCAATAAAGTTTGAAAATTACTGCTGCAGAATGTGTGGTAGGGTTGCAAATGTGGACACAGACCCATGTGTACAGCCACTAAAACTTTAGGATGAATCTGTAGTTAGAGGAAGGGTGGTGTAGAGTATCTCACACAGTTTGATTGTTGTGTCTGTGTGTGCACCTGAATGAATGTGTCCATGCGTTGTGTCCCCTCATCCAGCCTCTGCTGCCTGTTGCTCCCCCCTTTGGTTTTAGAGGGTCTCTCACTGAACCTGGAACTCACATACTTTGGCTAGACTGGCTGACGAGGAAGCCCCCAATGCACGTGTTGGCACCACCCCCTCCAGTGCTGGGGTTACGGGCCTATGCTGCCATATCTGGCTTTTACATGGGTGCATGGGATCCAAACTGAGCTGTTCGTGCTTGTGCACACAAACAGTCCACTGAGCCATCTCCCCAGCCAACATTTGTCCTATTTTAAGACAGAACATACAACTGTTTCTCTGTATATAAATTCATAAACGAAGGCCAGCAGGCACCTTGTTTCTGAAGCCAGTGGTTACCTTTCTGAAGCCAGTGGTTACCTTTGGAAGTGACTGGCTTGGGAACCTTTAGTGAGAAAGAGTTTTAGGTATATCTGATTTTTATCTTTTCTGTATTTAATTAAAACTCATGGCAAAAAATGTAAAAGAAACTGTCTAGAAACAAACACCAATGTGATTTTTTTTTTTTTTTTTTTTTGAGAGTGATGTTCAGTTCCACCCCAGCTCTGATGGCACTGCCAGTAAAAAGCTTAGTCCTCGTCAGGTCTTCTATTGTGAAAGGACAATTATTTCCTGCAAATAGAAGCACAGAAAGATTTTTTTTTTTTTTTTTCAGGGAGGCAATAAAATAAGACAGGAGGATGAGGTAGAAAAGTGTTCTTGCCCTGAGGCCCAGGGCCTACCTCTACTGGCACATGGTAGGTGCTCACCATTTTATGACTGTTTACCCATTCATTAAGCAAAGAAGAGTGGCCATGCCCTGTGCTGCGGACTGGAAGACCCTCCTCTTATTTCTTAACCCTGGCATTAGAAGGCCAGACTGGTGAGGAGGTGCATAGAGTTGGAAGTGAAATCAGGCTAGTGAAGGCTTTCTACCTTTACTTTCGAGGTCCTCCTCCTCCTCATTTACTTCCTCCTCCTCATCCCCTTCCTCCTGTTCCTTCTCTTCTTCCTCCTCCTCCTCCTCTTCTTTTTCTTAAAATAGAAAGCAAGCAAGCAAAAGTGACATTTAAAAAATAGCACCCATTCAGAAAGTGATGGTTGAACTTGATTTTAGTTTTAAAAAATGAGTTTAGAAAATGGACTTTGTCCTTTTAGTGATTATGGGAATATCAAGCTTATGGGAAGAAATAGAAAATTAAGATGAGGAAAACATGTCTTGCTTCTCTGCAAGTTACACCTTTGGTTCTTTGGAATATTTTCTTGCTGTTAGGTATTTGTAGCTTACCATGTTTCTAAAAAAGATGTAGAATGATTTTACATGTGACTTGAAAACATGTTCTGCGTAGATTTCCCCAACTATCTTTATAGCTGACCTGCTTTAAGTGCTCACTTTTTTGCTGTTGGATTTTTGTATATTCTGCCTTTTCTTGGTGTCCTGATCTTAAAGGTCTTGTTTCAGTTCACAGTTTGTTGATCAGGAATTGTCTGAGTTGCAGCATTTTTATGGAGTTAGAGGCAGGAAGAAAAGGTTGCCCTGGAGTCATGCTGAGCTTCCTTTAAATCTTATTTTCACATTGTCGTAGTCAGATTAACTACTGCTGTGATGAAACACCTTGACAAAAGCAACTTGGAGGAAAGGGCTTATTTCATTTACACTTTCAGGTAATAGTCCATCACTGGAGAAAATCAAGGCAGGAACCTGGAGGTAGGAACTGATGCACAGGCCATGGAGGGGTGCTGCTTATTGGCTTGTTCCTCATGGCGTGCTCACCCTCTTTTTATAGAACCCAGGGATAGCACCACACACAGTGGGCTTGGCCCTCCCCCATTAGTCACTAATTTAAAAAATGTCTTACTTACTGCTAGATCTTATGGAGGCATTTTCTCAATTGAGGCTCGCTCCTTTTGGATAACTCTAGCTTGTATTAAGTTGACATAAAACTAGCTAGCACAGACTATACAAGGCCTGGATTCTAGACTTGTGTCCTCTACTTTGCTGCCATCTGATTGGCAGAGATACTAAAACTGTCTAGGCCTTAGAGAATGTATGCACCTTCATGGAGTTGGTAGTTGGGACAAATGTAAATATTTTATGAATTATTAAACACTGTATGTATGAGAGTGATATTATGCTTTTGTTTGTGAAGCACCCTAATACTCCTGGCATCTTGCTGGACACTCTGTACCTTTATTTTTTATAGAGACTTGCTCTGTGAAGTAGATGGTATTCTCCTGCTGGAGTGGAAGGATGAGAGACGTGGAAAGGTGCAAGCAGAACTGAGAGCAGATTGTCAGGGAGTGTGCTGTAGTTCCCAAAGTCTGATTTTGTGTCTGTATTAGTTACTTTACTATTGCTGTGATAAGACACCATGACCAAGGCAACTTACAGAAAAAAGGAGAGTATTTGGTTCTTACAGTTTTAGAAGGTTAAAGTCTGTGACCATCAAGGTGGGGAGCATGGCACTGGAACAAGTAGCTGAGAACTCATGTCTTGACAGCAATCACTGGGTAGACAGGGAAACTGGGAGTGGTGTGGGCTCTTGAAGCTATAAAGCCTTCTTCCAGTGACATACCTCCAACAAGGCCACACCTGTTAATCTTTCCCAAGCAGAATGTCTGGGAACCAGACATTCAAATATATGAGCCTATAGGTGTCATTCTCATTCAAACCACCACAGTTTCTAATTCCTAGAAGTTTAACTTGATTGTGATGACCAGTTGATAATGTCTAACAGATAAAGTCAGACTCAAAAACCCAAGTGGCTTATAACTGGCATAGTGCCTCCACTTAGTACACACTTACAGGATAACAGCTAAATGACTGTCCCCCATGAATGTCACTGAGCTGTGAGAACTGGAACTCAGTTCTAAACCAGAGCTTTCAGCTCCAAAGACTGAGTTCCAGTGCTTCCTGTCTCCTGGTCATCTCAGTGCTGTGTGCTTGGCTATGGCCCAATGGCTGTTACATGAGTCCAGGCTGTCTTACAGGTCCCTTTTCAAGTTCTAGTTCATCTCTCATCCTTCTGTGCTCTCTCCTAGTGGCCTTTTCCCTGTTCTGCCAAGTGATCTGGATGTCATCAGTGATGCTGCTGGCTTGGGAAATGGAGGTAAGTATGCACACCAAGAAGAAAAGGGGAGTAGGCAGAGACCATGAGCAGCTGAGGCCTGGACTTGGTGTCTCTTGCCCTGGGTCCCAGAGCCTACCTGGCCTGACACAGTGGCACTCAGCATATTGTACATATTGTGTGCTAATTTGCTGTCAACTTTCTTCATAAACATGGACTAGAAGAGTCCATGTCCTTAGACTTGAATTTGCTTTCTGTTAATAAATAGCTATATAGAGGCTGGACATTGAATTGGTATTAGCTTTGTCACTGGAGTTCTTTTGGTTTCTACTGCTGAATGCCTGAGGCCCAAGAGAGCTGCTGTCTGGACTTCATTGTGCCAGGGTTTTCTAGCAGGCTCCTGGCTGTGGTCTAGCCTCAGGAAACAGCTGCTCAGACTATAGACTGTAGATGGTTTATTCAGCAACATAGTATGTGTAAGTTGGATTATGGCAGAATACAGCCTGGGTCTTGCATTCTTCATTTTCATTCTGAAAGAAGTGTGTACCATCATAGTGTGTGGGTAGTGTTAATAATTTGCCTTATTGAATTATCTTAGAGATAGTTTGACTTGTTTTTTTTTTTTTTTTTCTTAAGTTATGAGATATGTGTAAAAGAAGCTTTGGAGCAGACAGAATGAAAATGAGGTTTCTTTCTGGGGAATGCTATAACTTAATAGGCCATTCCCAGGTTTTTCTCTGGGACCTGAGAACTTTTACTTGAACCAAATCTGATGAGCAGAAAGTTGTGAGGCCTGCCCTTAATTCAGCCCATAATGTACTTTCACTTCTTGCCAGACTCTGGCCAAGCATTGGTTTACAACTTGGAGTGTCGGTGCCTTCAGACTGAGGACAGACAGGCAAGAAGTTACTTGATAAATCATTTGATCAAGGTTAGGGACAGAGAAGTGTTAGGTACTGTGCCAAGGATGAGAGAGTAAGGGAGTCAGGTGAGCATTGCCTAAGAAATTGCTCACTGGAGCTGAGCCTTGCCACAGGACTGAAGTAGGGGAAGGATGGGATGAGCATCCCTGACACAGGTGGCTGAACACTGAGGACAGAAGACAAACCCTGTGCCCTCAGTCAGGCACACATGGTTTTGCACATTCTGTCTCTGCCCATATCTACCGGGGGGTGGGACGGGGTAGGCTTCTGTTCTCCTTTCTGCCTGTGGCTGCCTGCTCTCTTGAGAAATTAGCTCAGAGCACACCACCTTCTTTAGCTCTCCCTGGTTACTCAACATTTTCTCTCCTCTGAGCATTATATATATTTATTTTTCTTATTGCTGTTGGCTTCTGTCCAAGTATACAGAAGCAAACAGGTTCTCACCCATTTGCCCTCATCCCATCCTAGCCAAACACCTGGACTCTGGCCTGGGTTATCCCAGTTGTCCCCTGGCTGTTCCCATTGTTCCTTTCCTGCGTTCCTCACAGTCTGTTCTCAGAGAGGCAGCCAGAGGGAGCCTGAATCTGTTCACACTGCTCTCACTCAATCCTCCAAACAGCAGTAAGTGGTTAGCTGAGCCTGCAAAGCCAGCCATTCCTCTATCCTAAATCACCTTTTAGCATAGTGTGTGTTTTGTCTCTTTCTTCCCTCTAGCATGGATGTTTGTTTCTCGGTGTAAGCAGACCCAAAAGGCCCTGCCTGGAAGCAGTCTTTCAGTGTAGCTTTCTCAGAGAATAGATTCTTTAGTCACTTGATGCATACCAACCAGCGTCATAACATTTGTTTGCCTGTGTTCACTCCTCAGCAGGGCTAGAGTTTTCCGCCATTGACTGATTTTGGAAGGCAACTTTTCTTGGAACTTACGCTGTGTTTATGAGCTGCTCTATGAGGGTGTTCTTGTGTGGCAGTAGAGTTAAGTAGCGATGACAGATTTTAGGCTTTGTGTATGGCCTACAAAGCCAAAAATTGTCATTGGTGTTTTATGAAAGAGTTTTGCAAACTCTGGTGTCAAGTCAGTCAGGCTCTGTCTCAGTTTTTGACGTGTGAGGAGGAGGAAGTATGTCAGGCCTGTCTGCTTGTCACATGCCCCATGTAATTTTTGGGTTCATCTCCTTGAAATATTGTGGTTTCATTGGGGCCAGTTTAGGTAATTTGTCAGTATTGAGAATGTAGTAATTTAGAGTTTTTTTCTGGACTCAAATCAGTAAATGCCAACAAGCAGGACATGCCCACAGGGACACTGTAAGAGCTACTCTGACTTTCTCTCCTTGCTCTCAGCCCTAATATTGGGCAGCCTGTATGCCTAATGATTTCCTTTGTGTGCTTTGCCTTTCTGTAGTGCTCCCAAATGTGTCAGAAGAAAAGGTCTCTCCTTCCAGAGCACGGAACATGAAGGATTTTGAAAACGTAAGTGAAGACACCAATCCATTATCCTCTTCTAACAAGTTATGTCTGCTGCTACCATATAGCCAGACCTGGGAGAGAAATGCTTCCAGAGGCAGGGGCATGTCATGTGAGGGGGCCTCCATGGCCTGGGCTCTTATCTGTGAGGCTTTTACATGTACACACAACTAATCTTTCATACAAGTTTTGGTAGGTTCTGCTTGGTAATTAGTTTGTTTCTGGTGTCCTGATGATAAGAATGTTGACATATTGTGCAATGAAGTGGAGCTGACAATGTCATAGGCACAGGGTATGACAGTATCTAGGCACATAAGCCCTCATTGGTCCTTGTTATATACCTCATGAGGTATTTTATATTGACCCCACTTTACAAAGGAGTTGTCAGAGTAGGAGAGACTGATTTATGGTCAGATAATAAATACATAAGAGACAGATCTGGGATTCCAATTAGTTTTTTTGAAATGAATATTTTTGTTTGTTTTTTCAGAGACAGGGTCTCTCTGTGTGGCCCTGCCTGCCTTGGAACTCGTTCTGTAGACCAGGCTGGCCTTGAACTTGGAGATCTGCATGACTTTGCCTCCTAAGTGCTGAGATTAAAGGTGTGTGCCACTACCACCTGGCTGAAAATGTTTATTTGTTTAAGATTTATCTTAACTTATTTTTTGAGTGTATATTATGTGTGTATATGAAGTGAATGCATGTCAGTATGCAGGTGTGTACATCTGTGTGGTTGTATGTAAAAGCCAGAGGAAGATGGCAGGTATTTTCCTCTGTCACTGTCTACCTTATTCTTTTGAGACAGGATCTCTCACTGAGCCAAAACCTTGCCTTTCCAGCTAGGCTGGCTGGTTACTGGCTGGTTAGCAAGACCCCAGGATCTGTTAATGTTGATAATGCAATGATTTAGAGCATCTCTGCCCCTCCCAGTACTGAGCACAGGTATCTATGGCCCTGTTTTAAGTTCCAAAGGTGATTTTAATAGATAAATTCACAATACTAGCATCCAAGTTCATGTATTGAGATAGGCGTTTATCCACTAAAAACCTTTTCAGACATTACAGTTGTCACACAACAATGGTTTTCATTTCCCATTTTGGCTTTCTTATGTTCCCCCCTCCTCTTCCCCTCCTTTCCTTTTCCCTCCTCTCCTCTTCTCCTTTCCTCTCCTCTCCCCTCTCCTCCCCTTCCCTTCCCTTCCCTCCATCTCTCTTTCTCCCTCCCTCCCTCCCTCCTTCTCTCCCTGCTTTCTTTCCACAATACTTTTGTTGATTATTTGGGAACTTTACATCATATATCCTAAGCACACTCACTTCCCAGCCCCCTCCCCCAAAGAAAGAAAGAAAGAAAGAAACAAACAAACAAAGCAAGTCTAGTTTGTGTTGCCCATATACTCACCAGAGCATGGTCAAACTCTCATTGGCCAGCCCCTTAAAGAAAACTGAGTCCCTTCTCATTCCCACTCTTGACAGAAGCCATAAATAGTGGAGGACTACATTTCAGCATTCTTATCAAAAATTTTAAGAGTTTTCTTCGATCCTGCTCGTTCTTTTAAGTGGGTGCTGGAGATTGGAATTTAGGTCCTGGTGCCTGCATAGCAAGAGCTCGTACCCACTGAGCTGTTCTGCACCCGCTGAGTTCACTTAAGCATTCTGCTGCATTGCCCCTCCCTTTCATTTTATGGCTGTGAGTGGAGTGTGGGTGGCCTGTACCCGGTCCCATGTTGTAATTGTCAGAGAGTAGATTACTGGTGACAGATTTGGATTTGATGCTCAAGCATTCTGCCTTTCATTTGTTAGCAGAGAGGATTTGTTGTCAAGTAATAGGAAAATAAGGTTATTTTCCTAATTCCAATTCTCTTTAACAAGTTACCTGCTTAACACTCTCATTTATCATGGGAAGAATTCGACTTTTCTTCATTTGTAACCAAATGAAATCCATACTATGCAAGACACAGGAGATATTTATCAGAGAGAAGATGGAGGACACAGAGAGAAGGACGCCTACAATCGTGCCTCTCTCTCCCCAGTTGTCTTTGCAGAATAGAGCGGTGCTGTCTCTGGATTTAATTTAGAATACTCATTACTGCTAATAGTTATCTGCAAGCCACCAGTGACCAATTGAAGAAATGACTTGTCAGATCTCTAATGGAAACAAGTAATTTTTGAGCTTTGAGTGTTATAATTTCAGCTGTACATGCGCTGTTATGCTATGGGATCTGGAGCCTGAACTGAATGAAATTTGATTGTTCCACATCGTGTATAATTAAAATATGCTCTCCTGTTAAATGCTTGTTCCTATTTGATCATAAGAGTAATAATAGCTGCTGTTTATTAGACTCTGGCTCTGAGCTGGGCACTTTAAGTTTGAAGCTCTTCGTAGATGTTTTAATATTAAAGCAGCTTTGCAAGACTAAGAGTCATTATTTATTGTTGAAGAATACAATTTTAAATTTCATTATCAGATGAGGACATTTTGCAGCATTGTATAATCTTGGCTTTACACCCGCCTTTTGAACCTAAAGGAATCCTGAATCTGCCCTATTTAGGATTTATAAGATACCAAGACTTGGGGGTGTGATGTGGCAGAGGTGTTCTCAGAGGACCACAACTTCTCTGGATAGACTGTCTGTTGATCCTATTGTGCTGGTGACTTTTGGACAGCTGCTTCACCCCCTGTGTTTCCCCTCCTTTACAATGGCTGCTGGGAGGATGGAGTCTCTGTCCTAGCATCAAACATACCCATGTGTCAGCTGGCCCTCTTCCTTATTGTCCTGTTACTGTTGTTTTTCTCAGCTCTGCTGTGTGATTGAGGCTTGTTTTGCTCTGATTGTTTTTGATGGCCAAAAATCTCATTTTTCTTGAAGGTGAGGGAGAGCTTTCTATGCCAATATGTTTTTGGATTTATGTTTATTCTTTATGACTGTGGTCCTTTGGCTGCTGTTAGGTTTTTATGGTATTACTATTTTTTATTGTAGCATTTTTGAGAGCAAATTCTGCAGCTGAAATTGAAATGACCACAGTGCTCTCACTGTCTCCCTTTCAGGTCTTTATAAGTCACTGAAATTTTTCATTTGGGTTGAGCTACTTTTTGTGGCTCAGGCCTTCAATCTCTGTGGTGGTATTCTGAGCTTTTTGGGAGATGCTTATAGGAAAAGAACTTGGCATGTAAAGTAGGTTTTAGAGGGTCATGAATATTGAAGGGAGGCACAGCACTTTTGAGTTAAAGGGGACACTTATGCTTTTCTTGTTCTAATCTTAGGTGACTACTATGTGGACATCAGAAGTTGCATTTAGCAAGAGTTTAGAAGGATGCTGATATTCATCCCCTTGTGGTTTTGCGCAGAGTTTATCTGTTCAATAAATGTTTTCACATGTACATCAGGCTGTCTGCTAGGGGCTGGGGAGTCTTCTGTGGGTTCTGCCTAGGTAAGTTTCTCTGTCCTGATTTGATTGGGAAGATGGATAGGAAGATAGTGGTACAGTGAGTAATTAAGTGAGTAAGCAAAGGGCACTATTTGGTTCTCTCCTTGGATATCAGGGGGACAAACAAGTTGGGCAAGTGGAGAGGGCTTAGAGAACACTGTGCTTGCAAAGAGTCACATGCAGCATTGAGAGAACATGTTAATAAAGTCAGGAAACTGCGAGTGTTTTGCTTAGAATGAGACTATCTCAAGGAAATACAGCCTGGAAGTTGGTAGGCCTGTCAGCTTCATGACTGTTACATTGCTAATTTTGTCTTGAAGATGAAAGCAGACCATTGATAGATGGGGAAGTAAATGACCAGGCATTGTACTTTCAAAAGATGACCCAAGTCTATAAATGTGAGAAGTATTTTTTTTAATTATTTATTCACTTTAGATCCTGATCATTGCCCCCTCTCTCCTCTCCTTTCATTCCTACCTTCCCTCCCTCCCTCTTCCCCCCCTCTTCCTGTTACTCAGAAAAGGGGAGCCCCTCCTTCCCCACCCCCTATCCTCCCATCTCTAGCTCATCAAGTCGCATCAGGCCTCTTTCCCTGTGGCCTGGCAAGGCAGCCCCACCAGGGGGAAGTGATCAAAAAAGCAGGCAATAGAGTCCATGTTGGACACAGCCCCCCTCCCCCTACTAGGGAACTTAAATGAAGGCTGACTGCCCATCGGCTACATCTGTGTAGGGGGCTAGGTGCATGCCATGCATGGTACTTTGTTGGTGCTGTAGTGTCTGCAAACCCCTCTGGGCTCTGATTAGTTGGCTCTGTTGGTCTTCTTGTGGAGCTCCTGCCACCTCCAGGTCCTTCTATTCTTCCCCCTCTTTTCCACAAGACTCCATATGCATTGCCCAATGTTTGGCTGTGAGTCTCAGCATCTGTTTCGATCTTCTGCTGGGTGGTACCTCTCAGAGGACAGCTATGCTAGGGAGAAGTATAGTTTTGAGGGGAACAAAACTGGGGGCAAGGTGATAAGGTTAAAGTAGATGTACCGTCTACTATAGAAGGAGCGGGGTCAGACTATAGGAATGAGTGTGGAGCATCACACATCTGGTATGAATAGAGGAGTTCAAGTCTGGCTTTTGTCAGGGGGTGGCATGAGTGGTTTCCCTTTCAGTTGGTCCTCATGGAAGCATCAGTGAGGTACCTGTTTTCATATGGGTATGTTGGACCATGCTTGCCTCCTGTGAGACCTTCAGTTTCCTCATTTTTCATAGTTAAACATGAGGCTGTGGTAAGTATCCTTGTACATATCACCCTTTTATATTTGTGTAATTCTTTGTGGGGAGGATAAATGACTGGAAATGGGAGTTTTGGATTCCCCAGGCTTAAAATAAAAATGGCATGGAGCCGACAGTAGAGACTAGAGTGGGATTGACTTTCTACTGATACCTTCTTCAAGGAGTTGGGAGAAACTTAGGTAGGTGAGGCTGAAAAGCTGTTCTGCATCATATCTGGACCTTAGCCACCAGTGGCGCCAGAGTTCTTTTTTTAAAATTTTATTATAATTTTTTATTTTTATTAATTACAGTTTATTC